GCTAATACCATCAAGAGGACGGGACTTCCCTCAGGTCTCTGCTTGTACCACTGTACGACGGTTAAAGTCATTGAGAAATTACAGTATGTGGTGAAGTCCTCTCCTTCCTGTATATGCAGGAACTGAGGAATTTGCATTAGCTGTTGTCCATTCACCTCTGTTCAGAAAGACAATGGGAAGCATCAGACAAAATCAGGTTAGGTCTCTAATCTCTGAGCTGCAAAGTTCCTTCTCATGCTTCTATTTTTCTCTTTCTTTCCATGTCTCCCTCCCCATCTCCCTCTACCATCATGTTCTCTCTTTCTCTCTCAATTCTTGTTTCTTAACCAGAAAGTTCATTCCCTGTCTGCAGATAATTTTCGATTATGTTGGATTTTCTGGAAGTAATCAGGTAAATTTCAAACTCACGTGAAAATTGCATCCATAAGATCATCACCGGTGTGATGAGTAGCATCTTCCTCTCTTTCAGATAGAGTTGCTGAACCTAACTTCTACTAAATGGGTTCCCTTGTACAGTCTTCTTCCAGATCCAAAGAAATAGTTTTGGTCTACTCTGGAGAGTGGTTGTGTGCATTTTGGAAAGAAAGGGAAACAAGGCGATTGCAATTTGAGACCGCCAATCAGACTCTTTTACCCACCCACTTCAGAAGAGGGCCTACGTTGGCAGATACTGCCTCCTTGTGACTGGACTCAAAAACTGCTGATATGAGAATCGATTCTTTTGAAGTAGCTTTCTGATTTAGGTGATATGTATGTACTGTCTGTTGGACAGCGCGGATGTAGAACATTTCTGCCATCTCTGAAAGCTCTATTGAACAGGGCTACTTTAGAACGTTGGGTCTAGGAAAATGAGGAACTTTGTTTCTTTTGTTTTCTGATGTATCACAAGTACACTCCCTGATATGTGGTAAGCACTCAATAAATATTTGCCTATTGTTCATGAACATGACCTCAGAAACAACTCTAATACCTGGTAAATTGTGGATACTCAAATATTTGCTGAATTAGAAATATAAGTGTGTCTTTGAATGTATAATGTGTGTGGATTTGAATTTGAAACACTCCAGAGATCAGTCAAATGGTATTGATTTGCCATGTGACCTTGCTTGAAAACAAGCAAAGGTTAGTTGTGGCTATTTAGAATTATAACCTTTGGGAGACTAAATTAGTGTTCTGGGCTGCCCAAACAAATTACCACAAACTTGGTGGCTATAAATGATGAAAATACATTTTCTTACAGTAGTAGAAGCCAGAAGTCTAAAATCAAGGTGTCAGCAGGGCCAAACTCCTTCTAAATACTCTCAGGGAGAATCCTTCCTTACATCTTCTAATTTCTGGTGGCCCCAGGCATTCCTTGGCTGTGGTTGCACAACTGCAATCTCTGCCTCTGACTTCACACGACCATGTCATTTGTGTTTTTCAAAAGGACAGTTGTCATTGGATTTATGGCCTACCTGAATAATCCAGGGTGATCTTATCTCTATATTCTTAATTAATTACATTTACAAAGGCCCTTTTTCCAAATAAGGTTACATTAACAGTTTTTGGGGTTTAGGACATGGGTCTATCTTTTTTTCCAACGGGACACAATTCAATCCACTACAAAAACTCTAGTGTCTTTAAAGTGTTACCATGTAAGTGTATTAGTGTTAGACATCTCAATATTTCATTTAGGATCAAAAGTAAATCTAAATCTGAATTACTGTATAAAATGGAAACAGACCAAGAAGCAGTTTTAGGATGTACTGAAAAATGACAAATACTGTGAGTTAAGATAAGCTTTTTGGGCCATGTTTGGTGACTCAGCCTGTAATCCCGCGCTTTGGGAGGCCAAGGTGAGTGGATTGCCTGAGTCCACAGGTTCGAGACCCGCCTGGGCAACTTGTTGAGACTCATCTCTATAATAAATAAAAAAAAAAATTAGCCGGTCATGGTAGCGCGCGCCTGTAGTTCCAGTTACTTGGAAGGTTGAGGCAGAAGGATCACCAGAGCCCAGCAGGTCGAGGTTGCGGTGGCCGGGAGCGGCCACTACTCTCCAGTCTGGGCGACAGAGTGAGACTCCAACTCAAAAAAAAAAAAAGATAAGCTTTTTGAAATACACACCACTGGGATACTTCTACCTTCTTAGGGATGTTGGATTTGGGTCTCAAGCTGAAGACAAAGCTAACAATTTTGTGGCAATAAGTATTCTTTCCCCATTTAGAAAGGGCAAGGAGTCTGGAAGGAAAACCTAGAAGGGACATCTCCATCCAGGATAGCAGCACTACTGCAGTTTGCACAGCAGCATGAAAACCAAGACAGAGGACTCTCACCCAGGAATAGCTGGCCCTTTCCCAACTCACCGTCTTTCTTGTAACCTCTCTCTAGATCTTGTAGTTTGAAGTGAAAATTTTCTAATGGAAGGGAAGGGGACCTGGCCATACATTGGTTTAAGAAATAGAAGGAATATCTACACTCCTAGTAGGAAATTCTTCCACTGAATTGAAACATAAAATAGCTTTCAGTAACAAATATTCTTGTCAAAACAATTATAAGAAAGGACCAGATCCAAAAATATTTCTAATAAAATATTGCACATATTATCCTATAAAATCTCAGAAAAGAAACAAATAGTTCCTGAGTTAACCATGAAGGGTAAGTAAACTTGTTGCATTTTATTATGAGTATGTTCTGGGCAAAGTATATACTGGGCTAAAAGGACAGATTTAGAATAGAGTTTAATATGTGCATAAAGTCTAACGACTTTTAACCATTGCATGTGCACAAATCTGCAAAGACACAAGTTTAGGAAAGAACTAAATGTGTGCATACGTAGAATTTTAAAATGGCAGATACACACACACACACACACACACATATACACGCATATAGAATATGTGGTAGAAAATGATGGAAGATTATAATAGAAGATAACGTAGGGAGAAACTGTAGTTGGTTTTCTAAGTTTTAATAGAGTTTGAATTTTACAACTTCTAGTGGTTCTTCGTTACGTGAGAAGAAGCAGGAAGTGATCTGACTAGATATATTATATAATAATGACTATGTAGAAGTTAGATTCAAGGAGTTGAGACCAGATTCAGAAAGACAATTAGAAGGTCATTGCAATCATCCAAGTGAGAAGTGCTGAGTGCTTGAATTAGGAGAGTAGTAAGAAGCATAGAAATAGGGGAGATATCAACAGTAATTAAGAGTTCAAATTGACGTGACCTTGATAATTACTGGATGTGTGTTAAGCTTTATGAGCACTCTGGTATCTGTTTGTCATAAGGAATATGTAAGTTTGCTCTGTTAGCCCTGTGGTACCTAGTATCCAAAGATGCTCCTAATGACCCTGCTTCTGATAGTCATGTCTTTATGTAGTTCCTGTCTACACTGACTCTGAGCTGGCTTCATGCCTTACTCTAATAAACAGAATGCAGTAAAAGTAACATCGTAGCAATTCTGACCAAAACATTAAGAGGTTTGGCAGCACCTACTTTTGTGCTTGTGGAAACCTTAAGCCCCAGGTGAGATGTATATCATCCCCACTAGAGACACCATAAGGAGAGACCACATGTAGAGCCATGTGCAAGGGAAAAGGCCTTGAGATCACATGGAGTGAGAGATCAGCCCACCACCTCAATGTTCCAGTTAAACCAAACTTCCAGCATTCCCACCAAGGTTCCAGATACCAAAGTGAGCAATTTGGGGGCTTCCACTCAATCAAGTCCCCAGAGGACTCTAGCCACAGCCAAATCACAAGGTATAAAAGTATCAAGAGATAGTAAAATTGCAGTTGTTTTAAGTTGTTTTTGAGTAAGAAATCAACAACACTAAAAATGTGTGTTTCTTCTGTCTGATTTCTGATAGTCTCTAATAGCTTGACCTAAAACAGCTGCCTGTTTACAAACTTTCTTTTCAAATATCCTAGTGCTTTTGCTGGCACAAAAGACCTGGTGGCAATGCTTGAATGTAACGAAAGCCCTGTACTTCCACAGCGCAGAGACAGATGGCTGCTTGCTCAGGTTGGAGCCCTACAATCAACAGGGATCTGAATTTCTTGTTTAATGTGATTTTTATATTTCACTCATTCTTCTCATTCCATGTGACTAAAGAAAAAATGAGAGGCTTTTTATGAAGTCATGGTTCTATCTTTATAAACAATCAAAATTTCACAAATTATTTTCAATTTCAGATCAATTTTAAAATCCAAAGAAACTGAAAATGTGTTGATTCATATGTTCTTGGTTACACACAGTTTTCATAAAGCTATGGATATTTTTGTAAAGAGCTTGCACGAAGAATTATATTTGTCCCATGTTTATAACAGTAGATTTTCCAAATTATGTGCCACTGTATCCAGAAATTGATTGTGTGTAGAGGAAGACCTCTATCTCCTCATACCCTAAGGCAGGCAGAAGGTTCAAGAAAGAACCCTGAGCCAGTTTCAGGCAGCATATTCTGCACTGGAATTTTGTATAAATCTCATCAATTTCTGTGTGTGCTGTGACATGAAAAAGGCTGTGAAGCATTTTGTTGCAGTCATGCACAAATAAGTCAGACTTTGTCATTGCTTTTTACCTGTGTCTTTTGTTTCTACTAATTCAGAATTAGCTGAAGTCATAAGATTGTTACTTGTATTAGAATGGAATATTAGAAATTTTTCCATTGATCTTTATGCCAATGATGATGGAGACCTGCTCTGGGAAGTTGACCAGCAGCTGGGACAGTAATTGTTCTTTTGTACAGTTTTATTTACCAACACTTTGTTTAACCACATTATTTTAGATAGGTTTGAGAAACTGTCTAGTTCAAACAGAATCAGGTTGAAAGAGGAGGCCTGATCGCACTCAATGATATGGCTAATGTGTTGTTGGGAGTCGGGGGCTAGTGGTGTTTAGTAACAGTCCAGTTAGTTGAAGGAGCCATGACTACTAGCATGCTTGTTTTTCTGTCTGCATGATCCCCTTGAAAAAACTAATTCACCGAATTTGCCCTTTTCATTTTTTGCATGGTTCTTTCTATGTTGATGCTGGGTAGTAGAGCAACACCAGACACAGGTTTGGGTATGGGCTGCAGGTTCCTGAAGAGCACTGTGTCACAGCACAGAGGTATGTAGCTGAGTCTTCAGGCAGGGATCCTTTGATGTGCAAATGGCTGTAACCCTCTTTAGTATTAAGAGTAACTTTTACTCGTCCTTCTTTCTTTTCATCTCCATTTAAAGTCATTACAAACAGGATCGTGGGGCTTTTTGCAGGTTCCCACCTGTACCAGTGTAAGGCATAAAAGGAGCTGGAAGGGAATCTGCAGGTGAAATTGGTGCTGTCTCCCTCCTGAACATGCAGAGACCAAGGATTCTGTTCCACATTCGATATGCTACTCACTCCTGTTTAGAAAGAGTCAGAGATAGAAATTGGTCTCTCTACAGAGTTTATATTTTCTTCACATATCCCCAAATAAAACCTAGAGGTGTACAACCTTTCTCCTTCCTTGTTACCACCCAGACTATTAGAATATCTTTTGCAACCCCTGGACTTACGGCCAAGATTAAGCCAGATGATTAGTAAGGAGGCAGCCAAAGGATTCCTCTCCATTTTTTCTGCTCAAGTGTCCTCAGCAGAAGAACGTTCTGCAGGCTAGATCTGTGGAAATACTCTGCTTGAGAAAACAGGATTCGGCGTCTGGTTGCCCAGCCAATCAGAGACAAGCTCCCTTAACTGTCCTGGAAACACTCTGTCCTACATTCAGTTTCCTGTGGTTCCCAAAGAGAAATCAAAGACTGCTTTCTTGAGGTCAACTTCACAAACATTGAAGAAGTCTCTTATGAGTTTGGAAGACAAAGAGAATTTGCGACTTTTCAGATGTAGGCTACCTAACTATGGACCACTATCATTCAAACGTAGAGGGAGTTGCAGGTGGGATGGCAATTTGTAGTAGAAAAAGTACTTTTGTAGGTATTTTCAAGCTTAAAAGAAAAAACTTTCAAATGTTCTCAAATTATAAATGTGCACATATCTAAGTGCTAAACTACCTTTTGTTTTATGTACACTATTTTAATACAAAAATTATGCAATAGAGATATTACTATTTCCAATTTACAAACAATAAAATAAATTAAAGCTTGAAGAGTTTAAGTAACACATTCAAGGTCAATTATTTGATAAGTGGTATCCTAAGAATTAGAATATATATCTGTATGGCCGTGGACTCTCTAATCGCTGTAATCTACAATGCTATCTGTATCTGTGATGTACTGTAAATATTTTAAATGTTAGATATATCCTAAAAATAATGGTAGTCTAACTTGTTGTTATTTTTTTATAATGGCTAAAAACATGGGAGCAACCCAAATGTCCAGCTGGTGAATGGGTAAAAAAATGTGGTATATTCCACAATGGAATATTATGTAGCCATAAAGAAGGACAAATATATGAACTTTGCAGCAACTTGGATGGATTTGGAGTCGATCATACTCAGTGATGTATCACAGAAACAAAGAACAGAGTACCATTTGCTCTCACTCATAAGCGGAACTTGAACAGTTATAATACTATAAGAAAACATTTGGCAGTAATGGGAAATTGTCAGGGGAGGGGGGTGGGATTGGCAGTTGAGGGACTAGGGGAGAGAGAGAGGCATACCTCATCAACAAAGGTACCTACATGTTTGCATACCTAACCCTGAATTGTATCCCACACCTTTATAATAAAAAAGATAATTATATTAAAAATGTGGTATATTCATATAATGATACGAATGATATCCAGCAACAAAAAGAGATTACATACTAATATATGGTACGATATAGAAGAGGCTCAAAAAACACAATGTTAAGGAGAAGCCAGGCACGAGAGATTGTCTATTGAGTGATTTCACTTAAATGACATTTTCAGAAAGGGAACATCTATTGAGACAAGGTAAATCAATGGTTGCCGGGTGCCAGAATTAGGAATAGAGATTAACTGTAATTGGGCATGGAAAATTTTTTTGGAGTACTGAAAATATTTAAAAATGGATTATGGTAATGGTTTCATTATTCACTTATTAATTAGAAATCATCGAACCATATAATCAAAATGAACGAATTTATGCAAATGTAAATTATACCTCAATACAATTATTGAAAAGTAAATAAGACTTATGTTCTATTTGCCTGTGTCACAGTCCAGGTATAATATTAGTTAGATTCAAGGTACATGTATTTGTTTAAACAGAGATTTTGTGTCTAAAATTTCTCTAGGAGCTCTGAGGGATTAAAAATTTAAAAAGCAACATTCCCTGTTCCTTGTGAGCTCAAACTATAATTGAAGAAATAAGATATGTACAGGGGAAATTTAATAATACAAGACAGCATTAATTAAATTTTTTCCATAATACAAAATCTACCTCTGGGAAATTGGTAGCATGAATTGACTTCAAAACTTTCCAGTGAACAAGTGGAATAAGCAAAGGAAACAACATGGGGTATGTGCTAAACAAGGGAACAGCATCTTCCACATATACTTAAATCATGTTCTGAAGAATGGAACAGGATCAGAAGACGTCTCAGTGACTAACTTCTGGCTCTCCTTCCCAAAAAAGGTGAGACTGTGGTTAATAAAATTCAGAAAACTTCATTAATGACTCTGAATTTAGAAGTGTAAGGACTAAAGTTAGCAAGGGGTGCTAGACAAACAAGTCATTCCAAGTCAAGATTCTTTTTCCTCAAAATCACAGCATTCAGATGACTCAATAACAGGACAGTGAAAGTATGGTCACACCACTTATAAAACTCACTTGCTGTGGAGCTTGTTTCTGATGAAAATACTGATCCAATGATAAATGCATCCACATACTGGAGGGAAGTGTCCAGACCAAGAAGGGCATACCTCCAACAGCAGAGAGCATTTCTGCATCTATAGGACAGACTCCTACAAGGAATAGCCACACACAAAGAGACCAGGCCCTTTGTCCACTAAATATAGCAGGGCCTTGTGGGGGAAAAAAAACAAAAACAGAAATGAGATTTTTCTAATTAGAACCTAGAGTGTGCATGACTCTAGTTTCCTTCCTTTTCACTTTGGCCTCAGAACAACTCAATTGGTAATATCAATATTCATCTTTACTCTTTAAGGCTTAGTATATCAAGGGAGGGTTCTTTTTTTAAATTTTAGAGTTGTGGAGTACAAATGGGGATTCATTACATAAGTAGGTTGCAGGCAGTGAAGTTTGGGCTTTTAGCTGGCTATTTGATAGTGGACAAGGTACCTAGTATGCTGCCACATGCCTCTCCCCCTTCTCTACCCCTCCCTTCCCTTGCCATGTCCAGCATCTGCCAATCCCACCCTTGTGGTGGTGTGACCAGTGTTCAGGACCTGCTTATGAGTAAGAACATATAGTATTCAGTTATTTGTTTCTGTGACAGTTCAAAGGTGCTGCAGCAGCACCTGTTATATTTTGACTTATAATGATAATCATCCTGACCAGTGTTAGGTGGTATCTCATTGTAGTTTTGATTTGCATTTCTCTGATGAGTAGTGAGGCTAAGAATTTTTTGTGTGTGTGCTTGTTTGTATGTCATCCTTTGAGACGTGTCTGCCCATGTCCTTTCCCTCTTTTTAATGTTTTATTTTTTTCCTTTCAATTCATTTGAGTTCCTTGTAGATCCTGGATGTTAGATTTTTGTCAGATACAAAGATTGAAAATATTTTTTCTCATTCCATGGGCTGTCTTTTTACTCTCTTGGTTTCTTTTGCTGTACAAAAATTTGCATTTTGATGAGGTCCCACCTATCTATCTTAGCTTTTGTTGCATTTGCTTTTGAGGAGTTGGCTATAAATTCATTGCCTACTCCAAAATCCTGGAGCGTGTTCCCTTTGTTTTCTTCTAAGATTCTTATAGTTTGAGGTTTTACATTTAAGTCGTTGGTTCATCTTGAGTAAATTTTTGTATATGATGATAGGTAGGGGTCCAGTTTCATTCTTCTGCATGTACCTAACCAGTTTTCCGAGGACCATTTGCTAAATATAGTTTCCCCAATGTGTTTTTGCTAATGGCTTTATCAAGATGAGTTGGTTAAGGGACCATGTTTTTACTTCCAGAATCTCTGTCCTGTTCCATTGGTCTATGTGCCTAATTCTGTACCAATACCATGCCATCTTTGGTACAGTAGCCTTGTCATAAAGTTTAAAGTCTGGAAATGTGATACTTCCAGCTTTGTTCCTTTTGCAGAGGATTGCTTTAGTTATTAGTGCTTTTTTTGCTTCCATGTGAATTTTTATATTGTCTTTCCTAGGTCTTGAAAAATGATGTTGAAAATTTTATAGGAATTGCATTGAATCTGTAGATTGCCTTGGGTAGATGGACATCTTGACAATATTGATTCTTCCAATTCATGAGCATGGGATGTTTTTTCATTTGCTTGTATCATCCTTGATATCTTTGAGCAGTATTTTATAGTTCTCATTGTAAAGGTCTTTCACTTCTTTGGTTAAGTGGATGCCAAGCTATTTCTTTTTGTGTATATATGGCTATTGTAAACGGAATTGTGTTTTTTATTTGGTTTTCAGCCTGCCTGCTGTTGGTGTATAGAAATGCAACTGTCTTTTGCACATTGACTTTGTATCCTGAGACCTCCAAAGTCATTTATCAGAGCAAGGAGGGTTTTGAAAGACTCTCTAGGTTTTCTAGGTATAGAATCATATCATTTGCAAAGAGGGATAACTTGACTTCCCGTTTTCCTATTTGTATACCCCTAAGTTCCTCCTCTTGCCTGATTGCTCTGGCTAGGACTTCCAATACTATGTTGAACAAGAGGGGTGTTTCAGTTCTTAGGGGGGAATGCTTCCATCTTCTGCCCATTAAGCATGTTGCTGGCTGCAGGTTTGTCATAGATGGTTCTTATTGTTCTGAGAAGTGTTCATTTGATGACTTGGTGGACTAGGGTTTTTATCAAGGAGGTATACTAGATTTTATATATTTTTTTCTGTGTTTAATGAGACAAACAAGTGGTTCTTGGTTTTACACCTGTTAATGTACTGAATTACATTTATAGACTTGCGAATGTTGAACCAGTCCAGCATCCCAGGAATGAAGCCCACCTGATTAAGATGGATAACCTTGAAATTTGTTGTTGGATACAGTTTGCTAGAATCATTTTTCCATCGATGTCCATCGGGAAATTGACCTGTAATTTTATTTTCTTGTTGGGTCATTGCCAGTTTGGGGTATAAGGATGATATTAGCTTTATAAAATGAGCCAGGAAGAATTTCCTTCTTCTCAATTGCCTGAAATACTTTTAATAAGATTGGTATCAGCTCTTCCTTGCATATCTTATAGAATTTGGTTGAGAAACCATCTAGTCCAGGGCTTTGTTTGGTGGGGAGATTTCTTACAACTGATTCTGGATTGTTATTGGTCTGTTTAGGGTTTCAATTTCTTCTGGTTTCAACCTTAGGAGATTGTGTTATGCCAAGAAATCCTCCATTTCCTCTAGATTTTCTAGTTTATTTGCATACAGATGTACATAGTAATCTCTGATAATCTTTTGAATTTCTTCAGGGGCATTGTGATACCATCTTTTTCATTTCCAGTTGTGCTTACTCAGATTTTCTT